CGCACATTCTATAAACAAACTGAAAAGATCACATTGAAAAATGATTGGGTGGATGATGATTGCATATTGATTGCAAGTGAAGAGGAGCACGGTGATAGTGAGGAACTCTCACCAAAAGTTACACTGACCAGTTGTTTTCAAAACCTGCACACACAAAAGGGGGATTCACTAGAGGGCGCAGCTAAACGGGACTATGTTATAAAACGATTAAGCGAAGCATATGCAAAGCCACAATAAGCTGATGATACCTTAGAAACATTAAACATACTACTAATAATGTGTATGAGAGAATGCAAACTGCGACAAAATGTGATGCGACTGTAGAAAGAAAAAACGGCATGAGATTATTTCTGTAGCTTCTGTCTTAATTTAATATGCAGCTTCGTTGTTAGGAGTCAACTATGAATTACATGATATACATATACTAGTAGCTCGAATTTAAGTGTGTAATATACGAGAATATTGTAAAACGTGAATACGTGGAGCTGCAGCATATGTTACGTTTGTACATAGTTGCCATTTGAATGTATCTACCTTTATATTTATTATATAAGCAGGCACTTTTATTTTTAACAATTTAAAATAAAACAAAAAAAAGCGTTCGTTGAATTTCATGCGGTATTTAGTTGCAATACCTTTAATTTAGTTTTTTTTTTCTTTCTTATATTGAATTTAATTTTTGCCAATAATGTAAGTATTCTTACTTTCTGAATTTTGCAATAAATCTGAGAGAATAAATATAAAACATTGGTAATAATTGGCATTGAAACGGATTTGTTTTATTTACAATTATTGTTAAAAATTAGTTTTTTATTATATAGTTGATCGCGTCGTGTGCTGGGTTTGGGATATGTAGAAAAACTGGGTGTAAAAAAGCGGTGGACATAAATAGAAAAATTAAACTACAATTTTAAAATTTGGTATACAAGCTTTTTGAGGGCCTTGACTGACAAACGTCACTTGCTGAAAATGGTCGAGATGGGCTAAGACTACGATCCTACAAGCCGCCACCTATCACACACGGGGGTTAAGGCTTTTATAAATAAGGCGTGCAATAACAAACATAACGCAGTACTGAATTTAAACAGCTTTTTAGACCACTAAGAAAATGTTATAGAAAAATTTTATATTTTGGCGTAAAACTGAAGATTTTAATGTGATTTTAAATGGGTTAGTGCTAACAACTTTTAATCGCTAATGCATAGATAATGAAATGTAGGGTGGGGTTATCCCAAAAATCAGGCAAAAATGAAACTTGAAATTATTGTGTTTTGTTATGGATGTCCTCCAATATGTTTAATGAACGAGCAAATTTTTCGTTGATTTATATTGTAATTTCTTCACTTTTCTAAAAATAGGTCTTTTTATAGATATACATACTTACTTGGGGTATTCACAACAGTGTCGTATTCCCTGCCGGCATTTAATATTGCGGAAGTTACTAATTCGATAAGACATTTCTGTTAAAATCATCGCCGATGATATCGCTACTTTTTCGAATTCTTATCCGCTCTCGGGAAGAACTGTTCTACCGAGACGTTAGGTATTTATGAAACGAAAGCGATACAGCAATTAGGAACTATTTCGATAGGAATAAGACTAACTTGTGCGATAAAGGTGGAAGTGTTAAAGAAGATTCTTGGATTGGTTAATTTTTTTATAAAACGTAATGAGAAATTTGGGATACCTTTGAGCTTGCAACCACAGCCGCAGAGTTACGCCATTCTCATCCTGCTTTCGGATCAGATTTCTAGCTGAAACGCACCCATATTTTATGAAATTCATAAACATTTTAAAAAGCTGTTCCAAAACTTCTTTGGGCCGTATGAATAAAAATAAGCAATTGCTCTTTCTTAAAATTTCAGACCTTTTACTCGATTTATTCAAACAAAAGTGAAGTAGCCGGTCATACGGCCCATAATAAAAACGCAATAACGTATCTATTAAAATTTAAAAAATATTATTTGTTATTCGAATATGGTCATTGTTAATGTCGATCCCTGAGAGCTAGGTCTTAGTTAAGAAGTGCGAGCCAAATGCTTCCATCTTGCCTTCCGAAGGTTGGATAGTCTAAAAGAAAGTGTGGAGATGATTCCACCTCACTTTCCTCTTGACAGCTGATACCAAAAGGATCAGTAGAAATTCCTAGTCTTACCGCGTGAATACCAATCGCACTATGGCCTGTCAGAACCCCCCATCACTAGCCCTTGGGAGATAACGTGTTTGCGGCACCTTTAAGGGGTAACGATGGGCCACTCGTTTCTTGCGCTGCAAAAGGTATTTTAAAGTGCTCTATAGAAAACATTTGCTGTTGTAGAGAAACGTCTTATTTTTCCTGTTTATGTCACAAAAGGAGCACCGCTTTCTTTTGTAAATTTTTTTGGGTATTTAGTAGAGTATTTAATTTCATTATCGCGACTACGAAGTATGCGTGTTAGTCTAGCGCTCGCTGAGCTAACACTAGGTCCAACGATCTAAGAGTGTACCGCAGGAGGACAGAGGCGTCCCTAGGGTGCCTTTCCAACGGCAGGTCAACAGCCACGCAGTTTTCCACGATGTCACTGTGACCCGGCACCTAAATTAGCTTTATTAAGGAGTACTCCGACGCGGTTGATAGAGAGGTCAGACATTCCTTTACCCATTTCGAGCGCACCATCACACCCCCTAGGAGTGAGTCTACCACTTCCTTGAAGGCAGCTATTTCCACCTGAAAGACACTGCAGAAGTTCGGAAGCCTGAACATAGTTTTGGTGGAGAGTTTCCGTCAGAATAAACCTCCACCTACCCTGTTTCCAAGTTTTGATCCGTCCGTGAAGAAGTTTACCGCCCCTTCTTCGAGTAACCCCGCCCTACCTAGTGCTCTCTTGAGAGAATATAGATAGAGAATGAGTAACTATCGCTTTGATAACTTCCAACAGTGACGAAGAAGTGACATCGCAGCGATAGGCGATAAAATTCTCTTCCATTTGCTGGCAGGCTTGTTGTATGTCGTAAACTTTAAAAGCTTGAAAACGCAACCAACTATTTTTTTACTGTGTGAAAATTCATGATATGACTTTTAGGTATCTTGCGACTCTTTAAAATAGATTCTTAACCATTTAAAGTTTAAGACATATGTACAACAATACGACACTTACGATACCGTTGTGAATACCCCAACTGTTAGTATTTCACTAAACGTAAAACTCTAGCTAGCAAGTCTTTTGTAACAACAACAACAACAACAACAACAACAAAAACAATTGAATGACAGTCGGCAAATCGTGTTAACGATTTGGTTTGTTCTGCAACGAAAGTATCACAAAAAAAGTTCCCTTGCCAACTTTCATAATGGAAAGCCCTTTTAACAGAAAGCAGGACCGTTTGGTCCAACAGTCATAGTGGTCGGGTGATCAAAGCACTGACGTGTCTTTCGAGAGATCCGAATTTTTACGTGAGCAAGCTTTGGTCAACCGTGAAGTCTATGTCCAACCGCACGAAGGTTGACGACAGAGTCGAAATCCCTCTCGGCGACGGCACCTCGTTGGGCCGGGAGCGATACGCGAGCTATTTTAGCCGACAATTTACGCCGCATCCGCCGGGATATAGCCAAACGTCGAGTGACCAGAAGGCTGGAAAAACTGCCAATACCTAGTGCGCCTCTTGCGGTGAGGTTCATGTAGCCATTGGGTAGGCGAAAGCCTCCAAAGCCATATTACCCGACAGTATCTTCATACTGATGCCGAAAAAATGGGTCCTGCGGGAGTATATTACCTTTCCAAGGTCCTCAATTTGTCTATGACCACGGTCATCATTTCGAACATGTGGAAAATGGGGAGGGTGGTACCACTGTTTAAACCGGGGAAGGCGGCCAACAAGGGAGAATCATCGTCCGATAACCCTCCTTTCGCTGGCAGCGAAGATACTTGAAGCCTTGCAACTCCCGTTCTATACGAACTACTTGAACCAGCGAGGCATCATCGTGGGTGCCTTAAAGTGCATAGCACTTAACCGAAACCGCCCTTTCTAGAGAACAGTTCTAGTAGCGTTGGATCTGTCAAAAGCGTTTGACACCAGTCACTCCACGCTACTAGAAGACATTCGTCAGTAATTTTTAGAGACAAAAACCAGAAACCAAGGAAAATTGAACTGGGGATTCAACAAGATGGTGTCCTTTCCCAGCTGCTGCTTAATTACTATATATCAAAGCTCCCTCAACCACCACAGGCAGTCTCGATTGTCTATTATGCTGACGACTGCTCGATAATGGCATCTGGAAGTGGAATTGAAGACTTGTGCTCGAAAGTAAATGGTTTCCTCTCCGAAATGTGTCGCTTCTTCATTGCAAGGAGCCTAATCATCTCCCTACGAAATCCTCGGCAAACCTCTTTACAACCTGGACGAAGGAGGTCAGACTGCAGCTGGGTATTCACGTGGATGTCGAACCAATTCCGACGGTGACCAACCCGCGAATCCTCTGAGTTACCTTTGACAGCCTATTATCCTTCTCGGCGCATACAACCGCAATTGCCAATAGACTAGAGAGCCGCAACAAGGTTCTCAAGTCGGTAACCGGCAGGTACCTGGGGCAAAGGCAAAGAAACGTTGCTGGTAACATACAAGGCAATTGGCCGGCTGGTTCTGAACTATGCAGCGCCCGTGTGGTCGCCGGGGTCAGCAGGGAGCAGTGGACGAATCTACAGACATGCCAGAACACGGCACTCCACACACCACTTACACGATGATGCTCGCCATTAACGAGCATAACATTATGCTCTGTAAGCAGTTCCTAGTAGGGGAGCCACAGACGCTGGAACCCGAACAGACACCTGCCTGCTGTAGAGCCCTCGCCAAGGCACGTCAGAACGCATCTATACGAACTGGCGGACGAACAACAAAACAACCTCTGGACCCGACAGCATACCGAAAGGCCATAAATGGCATTTACAGGGAGTCGATCTCAACCTTCATCGACTCCCGACCTGTGAATGCCGTTTTGGGCACACATCCACCCGACGTGGACGGGAAAGAGCTTTATCTGCCTCGGCAGTTTGGCTTCACAACAGCCCAACTTCGCTTTGGATGCTACCCATCGTGAACTCCATAATATACTAAATGGAAAAATCAATCCCTATATCGATACCTGAGTGGAAGATCGACCTATCTCAACTGCCGATACAAAAGTGCCCTATCTCAGCACATTTTCAATGTATTTTCAGCTAAGATAGGGCGTTTTTGAACTTAATTCGGAGATAGTGTGTTCTTCAATCAAATTCTGAAGTAGGGCGTTCTTGAAAAGTTTTCTGAGATAGGACGTTTTCGACCAGGCTGCCGAGATAGGTCGATCTTCCACTCAGGTGGCGTTATATTGATATATCCTCATAGGTTAACAAGTATGTTAGTGAGAGCTCTTCATAGAATGGTATAAATTTCACAAATAAAAAAAGTTTATTGTAGGCTTAGTTAAATCCACTAACTGTTGTCTCCCGAAAGTTGTATGTCTTAAAGAAGTCAGACCTGGATATTCGTACAGGAAATGAAATACTGCACAGCTGCGACATATTAGCTCTGATCCAATACTTTTCGTGTAAAATCCTGTAAAAATTTCAAACAGCAAAATTACCCTCTGAAGTGAGAGTACAAAGTGAGTAACAACAAAAAGTACGGGAACAAAAAAAGCATTTTTCCTGTAAAAACGTCAACCAGTGATCGTTTGACACTTTCCATGATTTTACCAGAAGAAAAAGTTGGGGTAAAGTCTTGCAACTTCATTCTTTACACAACTCTCTAAAAATCGTTCTCATTTACAATATTTTGTAGGAATTTGGAGTACGGGATCATTTTTCCTGTAACTTCGTGCAAGTTCGTGTAAAAACCTGTAAGTTTACGGAGTACTGGATCAGAGCTATCCTGTTACATGAAAGACCTATTCAAAAAGCATGTTTTCAAGCAGTCAACCAGCTCCCGCCTTGGCCAGTTCGTCGGCTCACTCGTTGATTTCTATTTTATGGTCTGATTATGGCAACTTAACGTAACTTACGGTTCTCACTTAAAAATTCTGTTAAATGGATATTGCTTATAATTTAACAGCCGATACTTAACGTAACTTAATGCCACGTCGAAATCTGTTTCATTTTGATTCTCTAGGTTCTACGTTCCGTTAAGTTAAGTTAAGTTGCCATAATCAGTCGTTTAGACTGCGTTTTTATGATTATAAACTTTCATGATTTAAAAAATTAAATCTGGAAATAACGGTTATATGATCAAAGAAATAAAAATAACAATCAAATATTGATCGAAAAAATAAGATCCAAAAATAACGTTTATTTTTGAAGGCAAAAATAAATAAGTACATAAAATAAGGGTAAATTTTTATCGGAAAATTTTAAATCTAACTTTAATGGTAAAATTATGATTTTTATATAAAGGTCATAGTCGTTACGATCCCTGCTATAAACGTGATACACATTTACCTTTTTTTCGCTTCGCTTAGCTCGGCTGGACTCCAACATAAACGCAACCTTACTTTGAGTTGTTTAATCGCGAAATTATTTCCCTATTGGCTCGAAATTTCTATACATGCATATAAATACATATTTATCGGGATTTTATTAATAATTCGTTTTCTTATTATACAGCGTTCATATACATAAGAACCATTTTATCTTACATAAATGTGACATATCAAAACCAGATGTTAGTAGAAAAATTAAGTAATAGTACGTATATGTATATGTAATATAATAGAATTAGGGTGGTAAAAAAAAAGATAATAATTAAAGTCGGTATTTCAATGCTCACACCCCTAGGGTTATTCTATATCGAAAAAATATACCCCTGTTTTTGTTTTAATCAAAAAATATGTTGCGGTCGCTCAAAGCGTTAACGTTTCCAATGTATTACATATATAGCATTTTCAGTTTAAATGAAATGAAGTTAAGTGCAACGTTTTTCAAATTAAATGAAACCTTTTTCAGAATCAATGAAACTTTATTAAAATTAAATGAAACTTTTTTCAAATTAAGTGAAACATTCTTAAATTAAGTATTAAACATTATTGAGTTTAGGAACAGGAAATCAACTTAACCTATTACGAACCATTTCCACCATGTCTCGCTAACACTTACCCCCTAATATCCAAGGTAAAATTCCATGCCCGAACAACTTAATAGTTTCGAGCCTCCCATCCCTCCCACACCCTTTAGTCGCATTCTGGTTGCGCCCATGGCTCTGATCTACATTCAATTTTATTTAATAGCTGCTGAATAAATACATAATTAAATATGCCTTGACCATAAAGAAAAGCAAAGTGTAACAGCGAATTCATAGTAAATGAAAAAAGGAAGTTTAATTTAAATTGAAAAACGTTTAATTTAATTTGAAAATGGTTTTATTTAATTTGAAAAAAGTTTAATTTTTACTGAAAATGCTATATATACGGGGGAAAATATTTTTTTTCGTAATGCAAAGAATAATACCCTATTGTTTATTTAAGCATGTTTTAATATTAACTGTTTTTTATGGGTCCCCGCATTGATTTTTTTTTGGGGTTTTAGCGAACCTATAAACATCGTTTATATTAAAAAAGATATTGATTTTCACGGATTCTATACAATTTCTATGAAAAATGAGGGAGCGAGAGCATTATAATTTCGACTTTTCTTTTCTGACATGATTTTGGGATCTCCCTAATGCACACATGCATCATCACGAACAGCACTAAGTGAATTTTCGTTTTTTTTTTTTCATGAGAAGCGAACTACTTTTCAAAGCAAATAAGCCTTTTATTATTATTAAAATATTAAAAATTTCATTTAAAACCTTTCGCAATGTTGATTCCGATATGCGATCAAAAAACTATTATTTTTTTTCAACTAACAGTACGACTCCAATGTGGCCATTGCTTGATAATCTCATATAAGGTCGCGCCTGGACTTGAAGTTGTTGACAATTGGCGATGTCCAAAAAGTTTATAATCCTCAGTTAATTTTCCCGTACGCACACCCGTATCGAATAGTGCCTGGGCGGCCTCTAAGGCTTCTGTGCTGGGTGCACTACTCTCGAATGTGCCAATAAAAGCTACACTCAAGCTGCCAACATTATAATTTTTAACAGCCGCGCTGACAAATTCCCAACCACGTCCCTCGTAAATGCTGCCATCATTGCCGATGAGAAAATTGTAGGCGATATCATCGAAATGCAAGCTCCGCAGATGATAATTTTGAATGTTGCGAACTTGCTGAGAGCAGCTGTCCTGAAATATGTAAATGCGTATATGGAGTATACATAAAAGAGATGAAATGAATTAAAAAAATAATAATAATGTAAAATATAAATAAATAAATTTCATTGCCTTACCGCATTTTGGCATTCGACACCGGCTGTGTGTAGAATAATTACCCGTCCAACTGGCAAAGATTGTCGTGTGAGCTCATTGACCGCCTCAGCGCCATTCCATTGCGATTTCGATATTATATTGGGATCGGCTGCTACAAACACGTTTCGGAAAGCGAGAAAACTGGTGAATAATATTAAAAATCTCACAAGTACTATATTCGTAATTTGATACATTTCGCTCAAAACGGCCAGTTCGTTGGTGTGCACTGTCGTAAATAAACTGAAAACAATTCAAGCAAAAGAGCTACTTTATGGGTAAATGTTGCAAAAAGTAATTATACACACAATCGTCATTATCTACTACTTAAGTACATATTTATGTATGCACATATTCTACATACATGCATACAAGCATATGCAAAAACTTATCTACACTTTCCTAATGAGTAACAATATTAACCAGTACAACGTTTCAAAAATATTTTTAATAAATCTTTTACTTTTTAGGTTATTTATTGTCTGGCAAGATACAAAGTAGAGAATTTCGTTTACTTGGGAACCAGCATTAACACCGATAATAATGTCAGCATTGAAATCCAACGTAGAATCACTCTTGCCAACAAGTGCTACTTTGGACTGAGTAGGCAATTCAGGAGTAAAGTCCTCTCTCGACGTACGAAAACCGCGCTCTATAAGTCACTCATCATGCCCGTGCTGGTATATGGCGCAGAAGCATGGACAATGACAACATCCGATGAGGCGGCTCTTGGGGTGTTTGAGAGAAAGATTTTGCGGAAGATTTACGGTCCTTTACGCGTTGGCGACGGCGAGTACCGCAGACGATGGAACGATGAGCTGTATGAGCTTTACAACGATATGGACATAGTGCAGTGAATTAAAATACAGCGGCTCCGCTGGCTTGGCCATGTCGTTCGAATGGACACCGACGCTCCAGCTCTGAAAGTATTCAACTCGGAACCCGCTGGTGGTAGCAGAGGAAGAGGGAGGCCCCCACTGCGATGGAAAGATCAGGTGGAGAAGGACTTGGCTTCACTTGGCGTTTCCAATTGGCGTCAGTTGGCACAGAGGAGAAACGACTGGCGTGCTTTGCTGAACTCGGCCAAAATCGCTTAGGCGGTTACAGCGCCAAAAAAAAGAAAAAAAGAAGATACATATTAGTCTAAGTACACCAAGCTAAAAAGAAAATACAATTAAAATACACGTTCACGAACGTGTACGATTTTAGAATATGCACCACCCCGTTAAAATTCAGCACCGACGACAAAACCTCCGATAATGGACTAAGGTCGATCGACTTCACCGGGGCCCGAAATATGGTATTATGCTGTACTAGGTTCCAGATTAAAAATGTCCATCAAGCCACGTGTCTGTCCAGATGTGTCTGTTCGGACCGAAGAACAAGAAACCAAATCGATCATGTTGTGATAGACGGAAGGCATACTTTCAGTATTTTAGACGTGCATACGATCCGAGGACCTAACATCGCCTAAGATCACTATCTTCGATTCGCAGCCAAGATACGCCTCTGTGTGGCAAATGTGCGTCCAACAACGCAAGAAAAGCTCAACGCCGAAAAACTCACACCTGATCTCAGATAGAGCTCTTCAACAAAACGACATATGCAGGCAGTGGAACCACATTTTAAGCTCTTTACTCACCACCGCCGAAGAAACAGAAGGATTTCAGCGAGTCGGAAAGCACAACAACAAACCATTTAGCTTGGAATGAGCTCGAAATATATATGGATTGTTTAGTATCTGCTACTTTTTTCTACTAACTATCGAAATTCCTCATGGGTCCATCTATCAACAAATGTATTGTTTCGTGTGAAGCGACCCACACTAATAGTGTGTATGGTAGATATGGACATATCTATACCTCTATGAACGTAGAATGTATGTAAGCATATTTCAATTGTTTGCACAACATTTGAATTTATATTTTAGTACTTGTACAACCACTTTTGTAGGTGATAACCCATGGTACTTTTTCTGTTTTCCTATAACGTCATTATTTCATTAAAGCCGAATTAAAAACACTCTCTTTGCTCTTTCTCTCTCTTTTTAACTGAAAATGCTAAAGCTAATTAAAGCTTTCGTTTGCTTTTTCATACATATGTACATACATATATTCTTTTGGTAATGCAAGTACGCGCCAGATTTTGTTTAATAAAATTATTGACAATTGGCTTGATAAGAAAAAAAAGTATCAGAAGGGGTTTCACAAAATTATTAAGGCGTGGAACATGGGATCATTACGATTTAATACCGTTGCGTATGAGGAACGTGATCCGAATATGAAAAATTAAGGAATTAAATTTTATGAAACCGGTTTTTCTCCACACCAAATTTGACAAGGGATGACGGAAATTCGTTCCTAAATACATCATACACCCACCAGTCGGAAACAACAATAACAAAAAAAAAAGAAAAATTAAATTTTAGGTTATTAATTTGATTTACATATGTATTTGCGTCACCTAAAGAGGAATTTAGATTATGTTGGAATATAGTGTAGGTCCAATGTCTAAAATAACATAAAACAATTCGCATTTACAGTTGGTACGGTACTTATTTCAATATGGTACGGTAGCTTCTAGAGACGGTACTGGTTTCAAAATAGCCCCGAGAGGCGGTATTAGGAAGGACTTAAAAAATTTGCAAGCGGGACTGGGAAAAAAAAAATATTTTACGATACTTGCTCAAAAACCTCCAACTTTCGAAAATTTGTATTAAAAACGTTGTATGCGCGTTTTTTTTTAAGACGAAAACCAACAACAAAGATACATATCGTTATCTTAATATAGAAAGGCCCTAATACAATAAGCGGTAACTAAGGAAAAATCCAAATTTCCTGTTTTGATTGATTATGATGCATTTCATCGAATTATAAGCCCCGCATCATTTTAAGCAATAAAAAATTTTAGTCAGTTAGGGATTTTTCGCATTTTAGCGACTATATGAGTTAGGGTCTTTCTATATTTAGGTAAAGATATGCATGTATGTACCTATAAGTATATTATTTAAACAGCTTGTGAATTTAGCTTAGTGATACATAGCGTGATTCATCTGGATTTGCGTCCACGCACCGTTTTGGGTATTTTTTTATGAGAGCGAATTCTCAGAAATTAAGCAACTGGAGAGTTGCTGGTAAGTTACTGAATAATTTTTACATGAACCTATTGTCCGTAGAGCTGTAAAAGTAACGAAAAGTAGGACACCCGTATGTATTCGTTACTAATCCAATCAACGCCCGTTACTTTCGTATCGTTACTTTGATATAATCACAACGTGTATAACTCATGTACGAGATGCGGCAATCAACCCTTGGGTCGCGGTGCGGCCATTCTGACTTATTCGATTTATGAGCTCACAGAAGTGAGAAGGGTCTGTAATCAGTAGCTGCGTTAGAAAGCGAGGCCCGTCTTGGAGCTAGCGACTCGCTATTTACAATGTATGTATGATTGTACATAGTTGTGCATTTTCGAAAATTCTTCGAATAATGGGTTGCGCGATGGGATGCGTTCCTGGAACGCAAAAAAAAAAAAAAACTCAATCCACTGAAAGGATTCTGTACTACTGTAGGAATAAATAACATTAAATGCTTTTGTTCTCCGCTCTTTGAAATTAATTCTCAAAAGATTTCATTAGAGGACTAATCTCGTTCTAGAGGGGTAAACTTCCAGCTCGTTTGTCACCATTGAAATGACGAGGTCATCTGTTAATGTCTTCCGAGGTAGTTATAGGCCAAAATTCACGAAGTTCTATTGCGTCTTACTTCAATCGCTCCGAAAAAAAACATTGATGCTTTTCTTAGCGGACATGTTTCGGAGATTTAATGTTTTCCACAAGAAAAAGGAAGATACTGGTAAATACTGCAAGGAAACTTTAAAGATCTCACCGGCAGTTATGTTTAGTTCTGTCACCGGTAGTTATGTTTAGTTAGTCCCACGGTGACTGGCCAATGGCATTTACATTTTTTATTTAGCCTTTTTTATATTACCTTTATTTTTAGCATCACCATTTTTTTATTAACAAGTTTATCAACAACTGTTTTTCACAATCTCTTTTCAAAAATTTATTATTTTAAAATTATTAATACTATTACAAAACTGGAACTACACCTTTTCCAACAGTAAACACAAAACACAAATGTATTTCAGAAAAGGCCAAAGGAATTTCAGAAAAGGCCAAATGAATTTCAGAAAAACTCAAATGTATTTCAGAAAAGGGCAAATGTATTTCAGAAAAGGCCAAATGTATTTCAGAAAAAGCCAAATGAAATTCAGAAAAACATAATTGTATTTCCGAAAAGTTCAAATGATTTTCAGAAAAACGCAAATGAATTTCAGAAAAGCACAACTGAATTCTAAAAATATTTTTCTAAAATATATTTACGTTTTTCTGAAATCATTTGAAGTTTTCTGAAATACAATTGAAGGGGTTAGAACCGAAAGGATCTAAGTAGGTCTGACATTGTTTTAAGATAATTAAAATTAAAGTTGATTACTTACTGTAAATTGCCAGGTTAATTAACTAATTCAAAGAATGTTTACTCTTTGTCACCAAATAAATACTATATTTAACTATACAAATATGAATATAACTTATATTTTCAAAAAATGTCACTTAGACCTTTATGATTCTAACCTCTTCAATTGTGTTTTTCTGAATTTCATTTGGCTTTTTCTGAAATACATTTGGCCTAGGTCACAAAAACGATTTTTATTAGTATCTAAATATATATATAAATATATAGTCTGGAGTCCACTGCACCCCATGTGACCATTATGAGTTAAACAGGTGAAATACACTATGTACATATGTAAATCTAGATCTTACTTCTTTAACTCTTTATATTCACTATAGAATGTAGAGCTCTATTGAAAACTAACAACAATTGATATTCGTATTATAGATTATTCAGATTATTACTAATCTAAATATATGTACATACAAATGTACATAAGCATACATACAAATGTACATAAAAATTACGACTTTACTTTTTCACATGCATTTTTGGACCACCCTAATGCACATATTCCTCACGGATTCTTAGTTCGACTGCTGCAACTGTGTTCAGCGCAGTTCATCGTATGTATTTATGGCTTCACCAGAACCAACATTTGCTTGCACATTTTCATTTGAATAAAATACAAATTGATCTGCTAAATAGTCACAGAAAGTATTTCCGCCTCAGTAATTAATTTATTGCTTTTTCTAATTACATATGTATACATTTTTTTGTATCTTTACCTTCGTAAGAAATTTGTAGCTGCAGTTTGAGTATTTGTATTGTTATATTACATACGCCTGAGACAAAATGATTACTGTATAAATAATAAATACGATCACCACAAGATTAACTGATATCACAAGAATTTTATGATCTTCGAAATTCATAGCGAACTCAATTTGGTTAATCCTTTGCCGGCTATTTACTTATATATATATATATATTATTTATTTAATATCGACAATAGTAAAACGATAACTGACGATGTGCAAAGCCCGGTGAGCAGTAAAATACTAGCAAGTCTCTAATTGAACTGATTGAAAAATTTAAATATAATATATACTAGATGGATTCTAAATAAGTGAAGAAAATTCAAAGCGAAATGAAAAACAGTTGCATACGTATCGCGTTACAATTACAGTGGATGAGGAAAAATATTGAAAAATGATAAAATGCTGCTGTCAAGGAAAGTCATAAATAAAACATTTCATAAAGGTAATGGTTTAAAAAATAGTTGATCATATATACATACAACGAGTATTGTTAGGTAGCTTAAACTATCTTCAAAATCATACAAATGTAAAAAAAATTTAATGGCTTAAAAGGCCATTGCGGAAGAGCTAAAAATAACGGCATTTACCGCCTATGATATTCTTTCGGAAAGTAATGACTTACAATCTATTACCGGCCTCTAATGTACAGCTTTCACAAAGTCTGTTTAAAGAAGTAGGTAACAAGCAAGGTAACAACAATTTACGTATCACCGGCAAAATGCGTTTGAAGGCCAGATAATTTTTAAAAGCCGCTTGAAAAAACGGCTCTAAGACAATTCTTGTATATTTTGGGTTCAGATATTTTATTATTTGCGACTAAAAATCGAAATAGATCGTGGGTAAAGCGGAGTGGCGTAGTAAATTTCTAATTTTCCTCAAAAGTCGTAGTAAATCTACTACGATCGTAGGGAAGTTCTAACACCGCTCTATACATAGTTGTGGTTAGGGTTAGGACGTTAGTACTCACAAGTACGATACTATCGATACTTTTGGTTCCTTTGTTCCGAGTAGAGATGGGCACGGGCCTAAATTTTCAGGCCCGGCCCGGCACGAGTGCAAAATCAACTTTCAAAAACACGCACGAGCCCGCACGTTAAGAATTTTAGTGGGGACACGTCCCACCCGTAAATAAAGAGCCAACTTTTATTGTATGTATACACATGTACATATTTGTAATTTTGTGTTTATGTATGTACATATATTTACTGAAGCGAATAAATTTTTTACATCAAAGATTTTTATAATATGTTTTCTGGGAAGTAGAAAAAGTGGAAGGTATTTTATGTACAGATATGTAAACAAAACTACTAAGTATCTTATTTTTTCTATCGGTTTCCAAATATTTCATTTTTTTCCTTTTCTCTTATCAAAAGATTTTTAAATATGTACTATTTTTTCTATATAAAAACAAAAGCTTATCTAAATTTGTAGTGTTAGGGCTTTTTCGTGCTTTTATGAAATTTACTGAACGCCCATGCACGCACGAGTTCGTGCTGACAGCAAATATTCCGGCCCGTACCCACGGGCTTACGCAGAAGCGCGGCCCGTGCCCATCTCTAGTTCTGAGTATTTCTGGCATCGATGCATTTAACGAAATATTCATATAAAAATATCGATACCTTACCTCGATACCCCAAAATTTGCAGAAGCGATTACTTTTGTTAGTTTATATGTTTTTTGCTATCTGTAATGCTGAAATCGGTTATATTAAATTTTTATGTGTATGCGGTACAAACACTCACATATTTATTTCAGAATAATAATGGCCTGGCACTTTCTTTTGGTTTTTGTCGTAAAATCTGTGCCACTTTTTTTAAAAGCGGGTACGGTGATGTCAAAGTCTCGCAATCGTTTTTCCCCCAAGTTTGTGGTGAGAAAGTTGAGGTGTGGTGAATTAAGGTGTGGTAGATTAAGGTGTGGTAAGTTAAGATGTGGTGAGAAAGTTGGGGTGTGGTGAGTTAAGGTGTGGTGAATTAAAGTGTGGTGGATTTAGGTGTGGTGGATTAAGGTGTGGTGAATTTAGGTGTGGGGAGTGAAGTAGTGGTGGATTTAGGTGTGGGGAGTTAAGGTGTGGTGAATTAATGTGTAGCGAACTCAGGTGGAGTAAGTTTTCTTTACTTTTATTTTAATTTATGTATTTATCCCTTTCTTCTTCTCCATACTCAAAATTATCTTCATCCTTGTTTGAGGCTAATCTATTCATGTACATATATACATACATCTTATTCCTAAACTGCTGCTTAGCACGTTTCTTTAATTCACTATCAATATTAAAGCATACATTTAGGAGGCATTTCCGCCCCAACCATGTACATGTATGGCATTGGTATTGGTGTGACTTTTGAATTGATTTTTTCGCTCTATTTTAAACTAATTTGAAATTTTAAAAATTGCCTGCACATCAGCATCAAAATACCTTTCTAATGATATATAATTGTTTATACCTTAGAAGTACAGTTTAGCCGTAAAAGGGGTGTAAAGGAAACATGATTGCCTATTTATATAATTGATATGTATATACACAGTTGCATGCATATATGTGTAGGGATCGAGGAAATCATTTGGGGATGCAGAACGGCTTAATTTATTTTCGGAGGCAACAAGAACTTTAAGAGTTAATAAGGTCAAACCCACGGAAATAAATTCGATTTTTGGAAAGACTTTACAAGATATAAGTACATATGTACATATATAATCGATAAAGACAATTATAAAGACGAAGCTCAAGAAGATGAAGTTGAAGATAAAGATGACAATGAAAGTAAATATAAATACGAAGATAAAGTAGAAGATGCAGATAAATATATAAATACAAAATAAATATGTAGATAAAGCTAAAAATAAAGGTGATGACGACGGTGAAGACGAAGCTCAATTTGATGATGGAGAAGAAGTTGAAGATCAAGGTAACGTTAGAGACAGATGCAAAATAAACGGAAAATGAAACTGAAGACGGCACAAAACCGAAACCGGTTTGTCTCCAATCCGAATTCGACAAGGGTAACGGAAATTCGTTCCAAAATACATCATACAAAATAAATGTTGTGTAAAAAAATTACAACTGAATATATGTATGTATTAGAAGACAATCTGCAAACTTCTTCCTTTCTGGATAGGCTGTAATACTGAAGGAAAAATCACAAGTTTTGAAATGACACAAAAAATGCCGAAACACATAAACTTATTATTGGGTTTTAGATTATGGATGTGTAACCCGTTTTTGCAGATCAATTAATCTTCCCAAGATATTTTCATATTTGTGAAAAATTTCAAACTTTAACAAGGAAAGAATTAAAAAATAACAAACCTTGTTTTCATTTGTATTGAATCCTGTTCTTTTGCCAAAAAAGAAAATCTATTAATAAATAAACAACTTTTGAATGGTCAAATGAAAATGTGCAATAATTTTTTGTATGAAATAAGAGTATGAAATAATGTAACTCATACGCCATTTCGTACGTGGCTATACACGTACATGGCGTATGAGTAATATTTTCGATGTCAAAATTTCCATTTTTTTTTTCATTCACAAAGCAAACTCAAAATGAAAATATCTTGGGGAAAATGATCTGATCTAAGAAAACGGTATATATGTAGATCCGCAATCTATGTCCCAAAAGTAATATTACGTGCTTCGGGGGTTTTTGTGTCATTTTAGGGTTCCTACAGTTTAACCTCTAGCGCTCGGAATCTCAAGTAAATGCATGTTTTTGTTGGGAGTCTTTAAATGGTTAAGTTAAGTTTAATGGTTAAGTTATCTTTACGAATCAAAATGGCATTCAAACGTTAGTGCTATTTTTGCATATTTTTCAAAAACACATGTTTTTCCATATTTATGACGTATATTTGACAATAAATGCTTGTGGTTTTTTCCAAATATTCATCTGAATATCTTTTCGGATGGCCAAGCGGCCATTGATTGAGGCACTCTCTTCTATCTCTGTTAGACTTCAACTAGTGGAGGACTGTAGGAGAGCGCTGGCCTTAATCTTTGATCAGTACAAAACTACCTTTATATGGGCTCCCGGACATTGGCATATTTACGGGAACTAGGCAGCGGACAAAATAGCAGGTGCGACTTCGCACTGAATGTGTCCCACGCGGGGAGCATGGGCGCCTCACTCAAGGAGATAAAAGCAAAAATTACCGAAATGAATCACTCGAAGGCCAAGCAGAGGTGGAACTGTAAAGGATCGTACAGGATTGTACGGCAATTCTGGGTATCCTACGACCCACTTAGACCAAAGCTCTCTAAGGAATGAGCAAATAAGATACCTACAAACTTACAGCAGTTTGCACAGGGCACTGGCCCGTTGTACGACATGCCGAAAGGATTGGATTGCCACTCAATAGGTTCTATCGCAGTTGCGATGACCCGGGCTCAAAAGAGACTGTTGAACACTTCCTGTGCGAGTGCAGCTGCATCTCTCTCTCTATGACGTACTGAAATTCATTAAAGCCGCCAAATAGCTGTAGTTTTCACGAGTTGTGGAATCAAAATGGCAAACTTGCCAATTGCTTGTCAACAGGGTGACAATCCGCCTAAGCCAACCAACCGTTCATCTGAACCACGACTAAACTGTCAATGTTTCTTTTTTCACAAGATTGTAACTGTTTGCTTGATTATAAACTAATTTTAAACATAAATATGTATTGCATTTCGAAGTTGTTTTCTTGTTAAAATACATGTGTTATTTATTTTTGTACCGGCAATAAAATATTACGAAAATATTTTTAATTGCATATTCTACTTGCTTATAGAGCATATTTTTGAATTTTGAGTGAATATTATGTGCGCATATTTTAGATTTTTTTGTGTATGAGATTCCGAGCCGATCACTTATAGTGGTTTCGTTTTCTTTTTTCTGTTCGATTCTAACATAGAGGCAAATCGGTTTGAAAATTCTGTGTTCGTTTCTTAATGTACCACATCTTTGTAAGGCAAAAAGGCATATTCTCTGCCCTTCGGATCTTTTTCAGGGAGATTGTTGCCCAGTAAATCAGATGATTGCTTAAAACGACCACACATATTATGAAACGAGTGAGCTAGACAAGGATAATTACGGGTTTGATTGTACCAGAGAAGGGCAATATTTTTGGAAGACACCAAATCACCATTAATTAAAAGCTAAAAAGGGTAATATCAAAAAACTGGCCATATCAAATGCGTATAT